GGGCCGGTTCACCATGGCCAGGGACAACGGGCAGAGCTCGGTGACGCTGCAGATGAACAACCTCAGGGAGGAGGATTCCAACACCTATTTCTGCGCCCGTGGTGCCGTTCCTGGTGGTGCTGGTGGTGCTGGTGGTGGTTATGGTACTACTGGTGGTGCTGCTGGTGCTGCTGGTGCCAATTGTGGCAGTGGTGGTCACGTCCCCCCCACCAGGTCCCCAAATCTGGGCCCTTCCCTGCAATGTTCACCATTGGCCCCAAACCTCAACCCTTGACCCACCCTTTGGCCCAAAACCAGCACTGCCCAAGAATCTTGTGAAAGGGTCAAGATTTTGGGCAGAGGGCAGAGATTTGGGGTCAGTGGTCGAGGGTTGGGGCCAACAGTTGGGATTTGGGTCAATGGCTGAGACCTGGAGTGAGTGGTCAAGATTTGGGCCATTGATCACGATTTGGGGTCAATGATTGAGATTTGGGGTCAAGGGTTGACTTTTGGGTCAGTGGTTGACTTTGGGGTCATTGGTCAAGATTTGGGGTCAAAGGTTCAGATTTGGGGTCACTGGTCAAGATTTGAGGACCCCGCCAAGGGCGTCGATACCTTGAGCACCAGCCCAACCAGCACCAGCACTTTTGGCACAGAAATAGGTGTTGGAATCCTCCTCCCTGAGGTTGTTCATCTGCAGCGTCACCGAGCTCTGCCCGTTGTCCCTGGTGATGGTGAACCGGCCCTGCACCGACGGCGCGTAGTAGGTGGTACCGAAAGCATCAATCCCAGCGACCCATTCCAGCCCCTTCCCGGGGCTCTGGCGCACCCAGGACATGGAGTAGCTTCCAAATGTGAAGCCGGAGGGCCGTGACCCTGGTGGAGTCCGGGGGTGACCTCAAGGCCCCGGGGGAGTCCCTGCGGCTCCTCTGCCGCGCCTCCGGCTTCACCTTCGGGGACTACACCATGTACTGGGTGCGCCAGAGCCCCGGGAAGGGGCTGGAGTGGGTCGCTGGGATCGATGATGATGGTGGTAGGACCAGATACGCGCCGTCGGTGCAGGGCCGGTTCACCATCACCAGGGACAACGGGCAGAGCTCGGTGACGCTGCAGATGAACAACCTCAGGGAGGAGGATTCCAACACCTATTTCTGCGCCAAACGTTACAATGTTGGAAATGATTGTGATGAAGTTTATGCTGATGATATCGATGCCATTGGCGGGGTTCCCACCTGTCCCCAAATCGCCCTCATTTCCCCCAAATCGCCCCCATTTCACCCAAACTCTGCCACCGTCGCCCCAACTCTGCTCTCTCCCCCCCCAGCCCCAGTTTTACCCCAAATCTCAACCATTGGCCCCAAATCTCAACCATTGACCCAAAACCCAAACCTTGACCCCCACCTTGACGTTTTGGCCTCAACTCTCCACCGGTCGCCTCCAGCATCCACCGTCTGCCCCAGATCTCGACCATTTCACCCGAATCTTGACCATTTGTGTTCAAGTTTTACAGTTTGCCCCAAATTTGAGACACAGTTGAGATTTGGGGCCAAAGGTTGAGATTTGGGGCAAAACCAGCCCAAGGTGGGGA